TTTATCTTTGATTCAGTAACTGATAAAGCTGGAACAGCAGAAAATAATCATACACACACACACATGAAATGCAGACTAGAACCCTCAAGGACAGCCTTATTTCACTTGGATAAAGTATTTACCATTCTCACTCTCAGACATCTGTGTTAGTGTAGCTAAAAGGACTCAGAGAAAGACCAAGCAACCTCTCTCTGCTCTGCCTATAACATGCATGGTGATTCATAAATACTTGAAAAGACATTAAAACCTTACCTTTTAAATTCATTCACAATTGAAGCATGAACTTTCATTGCAATTTTTCCATCCAATTGTGATTTTAATTCTTCGCATTTGTTGTGTAAAACTTTCAATTGCTCCTTGTTTTCAGTGAGCTCCTTTTCCTGGCTCTGTGTTTTTGTCTCCAGAAACATAAGCTGTTTAGTCAGTTTGGAAACTGAAAAACCAAAGAATGGATAAAGACTTAATGCAAAAGATGGATAAAACATCATCTTTGATTACTAGGTAATATTAATGACAGCCAGTTTATAAATATGATCTTTTAAAAATCTTTTGGGGAGGAGGGATCCAAGACGGCAGCATAGTCAGATGCATCGTAACGTCCTTCTTATAACAAAGACCCCCCCCCAAAAAAAGTGAATTGGATATAGATGACAACTCTGGAACCTGGAGCATTAAGGCAAGGATGAAGGATTGGACTAAATGTCAAGTTGAAGGAGAGACTGTATAAAAATAGCAGACATGGAGAACCACTGATTGCTGGCGCCTTGCAAGACAAATCTGCACAGAGCAGCCATACTGAGACATAGCAAGTAGTGTTCCCAGCTGAAGCCCCATGACCTGGTGCAGACAAGCAGGACTCTGCACCCACATCCAGAGCCAGGCACTGAGAGCCCCCTGCCCTGTGAAAATTAAGGGCACTCACCTCACTGTGTCCCCTAATCCCCCCTGAGCTGGAGGCCTGCAGTCCTGTGGTACACCACCATCCACCCCACAATGCATGCAATTGCAGTCCAGTAGCATCCACCACTTCCCAACCCTAAAGACCTGCAGACTGGTGGAGCCATCCTCTCTGCACAGCCACTTGCACTGGAGGCCTGTGGAATGACGTTGTCCCCTCTTTTGCCTGCCCAACTGTGCCAGGGTTCCACAATCCAGCTGCACCTGCTTTTTTGTCCAGCCACCTGCACTGGGGGCCCATGAACAGGCAGCATCCTCTCTTCTGCCCACACACTCATGGTGGCAACTAATGGTCTGATGGCACCCCGTCGTTAGCCCACATACCCTACACACCCATTATGGAGGCCTGCAGACAAGTGGCATTAGTTCCTAAGCTCAGCCACCTGAGGCGGGGCTTGTGGATTGAATGCAGCCCCTTCTCCATCTGGCCATTGGCAACACTCCATCTTAAACCCAGCCACCACTACTGGAAGCCCGTGAACTGGAGGTACCCACTCCTACACTCTGCTACCAGTGCTGGGAACCCACAGATTAGCAGCGCCTCCTATTCCCACTAGCCACCTGCACCAGGGACTTAAGGACTCGTGGCACACCTTCTCTGCTTTACACTCTAGTGGACAAGAACATGCCCTCCTATTGGGAACTTATGGATCGGTGGCATCCCTCCACCTTGCCCTCTGCATGCTACCCTCCCACCTTGCATTGGAAGTTTATGCTATTCCAACCACCCCCGTGCAGCCCTGTTTGCCTGGGACCATTGGTGAGAGTTTCTGACCACCCACCTGGTAACTAACAACCTGGGACCCCTAGCTCCAACCACTCAGAAACCAGCAGTACATATACAGAACACCCAATTCAGCAACCAGTGAGAATGCTCCCTGAACCCACCCATTCCCAGGTGACTAGCTGGACAGTCACATACCTCAGCTGCAATGCCAGACACGTCATTAGCTGTTCCATAAAACCAACAAACAGAGACCCACTGACACAGCTGCTGCTCCATTCACCTGAAAATAGGTGGGGAGAGCTCTAGTGCGACCACACTAGAGACTAGAGTAGCATGCATGTGGATATACTGAAACAAAATTAAAAATCAGAATGCAGCAAACAAAAAACATATAATGAATAAATAAATATAATAACATCTTAATTCCTCAGAGATAACAGATACTATCAAAGCACTTAAAGAAGCAGGACGAGATGGCTCTAGCAAGTGACCAAAATAAAGAACCAGAAAACTTTCTAGAAGAACAAATAGTAACAGAACTATTTGATAACAAATTCAAAAGACTTCAACAGATCAAGAAATGGATCAAGGAAAACACAGACAAAACTAAGAAAAACACAGATACAGCAATAGAACAATTCAGGAAAATAATAATAATAAATAGACAATTAGAAACCATATAAAAACAACAACTATCAATCCAAAAGATTAACAATAATATTTCAGAAACAGACAACTCAGTAGAAGGACACGGGAACAGACTGAAAGCAGAGGAAGACTGGATCACCAAGTTAAAGGACAAATCCCTTGATACCAATGTGTTTGAGGGAAAAATCAGAAAAAATAATGACGAAAAATGAAGAAAGCCTAAGAATGATATAGTACAATATAAGAAGAAAAATGTACATGTGATCAGAACTCCAGGAGGCAAAAGAAAAAGAAATAGAATAGTCGAAGATTGCTAGCAGAAAACTTCCCTAATATCATGAAAGACAAGAAGATATCCATCTAAGAAGTTCAATTAACTCCATACAGCATAGACCCCCCAAAAAAGTCACCAAAACATATTCAAACACACCAAAACCAAAGACAAAGAATACTGAGAGCATCTCTGGAAAAACAAAACATCACCTACAAAGGGGAATCAATAAGACTAAGCTCTGATTACTTGACAGAAACCACAAATGCAAGGAGGTCGACAAAGAGGGGGAGGCCTTCAACGAGATGGATTGACACGGTGGCTGCGATGATGGGCTCAAGTATAGCGGGGATCGTGGGGCTGGCGCGGGATCGGGCAGTGTTTCGTTCTGCTGTGCATGGGGTCACTACGAGTCGGAAACGACTTGATGGCACTTAACAACAACAACAACAGCCTTAACCACTACACCATGAGAGCTCCTTAAAGATGCATGGAAGCAATTAATCCAAAAGACTAATGGGTCATGAGAACCTCAGCCTCCACAACCCTGAGTCCAGAAGAACTAGATGGTGCCTAGCTACTAATGCTGACTACTCTAAAAAGGATCATAATAGAAAGTCCTGGATCAAGTGGGAGAAAACTGTGGAACAAAACTCAAAATCATAAAAAAAGATGAGTCTCACTGGTGGGACAGAGATTGGTGAAACCCCTGAGACTATGGTCCTTAGTCACTTTTCAAGCCTGGAACTGAACTCACTCCTGTAGCTCAACTTTCAGCCAGACAACAAACAGGCCTATAAGGTGAATAATTACACCAGGGAGGTATGCACCCCACAGAAAATCAACCATGGGAGATTAAAAGGGCAGCATCTGCCCAGGGATAAAGCTCAGTACTCAGGAAAGGATAGGAAAGAAGGATGAATGGAAATGAGGAAACACAGGGAAGAAGTGGGAAGAGTGCTGTTACATGGTGGGGATTGCAATGAATGTCATGAAACAAAATGTGCATGAATTGATGAATAGCACACCAATTTGCTGTAAACTTTTACCTAAATCACAATAAAAAGTTTTTTAAAAATTAAAAAAAAAAACCCCACAAACCACAACAAAATGATGGCAAGAAACTCATACCCACTAATAATTACATTGAATATAAATGGCTTAAATGCACTAGTAAAGAGATAAAGAGTAGCAGAATGAATAAAAGAACACAAGTCCTCAGTATTATCTATAAGAGACACACCTTAGACATAAAGACATAAACTCAAAATATGGGGAAAAAAAAAGTATCAAGCAAACAATAACCAAAAAGAACACGAGTGGCAATATTAATCTCTGATAAAATAGACTTTAAGACAAAATCTACCATAAAAGATAAATGAGGTCATTATATAATGATTAAAGGGCCAATCCACCAAGAGGTTATAATCCTAATAAATCTATAAGTACCC